TTAATTTTTAACAATATTATATTCAATAGAAATTATAGAAATATTTGACAATTGTTCTTATCCTATAGTTGATCTTAAATAATTTTTTATTAATTTAGCATACTGAAACTTCTCTCACGAAGCAGTATAAATGTGAAAAATATGGGAAAAGTGAGAAATATTCGGAGAGTAATATTAATATTAGGATATGACTCAATTAATCCAAAATCATGAAGAGAAAATATCAAGCGTTGCAGCTTTAATGTTTGGCATCAATGTCGAGGCTTTAAATTTAAAGCTTTGGATTTCATTTGTAAATTCATAAATTTAAATCTTTGTTATACCTAATAGCGAGATCTGCAGCCGATTTTTGTAAATTAACAACATTCAAATTAGCTCATTGATTCTAAAGACAAGCCACAAAGAAAACTAAATTCGTCACAAACAGTTTTCAGTTGTTCATAACGCCAATCCATTTAAGATATTATTAAGACAATAAAATATCAAAAATGCTGTAAATTTGCATTTTAAATAATTTTTTAAAACAATAATTTGTCATGCTATTTCTTTTATCTACTTCATTTATTTCCATTTTCTTAACTCTACTTTTCCGTGTATTAGGAAATATAAATTCTATATCCATTATTTCAGCTAAATTTTTTGCTTTTAGAAAATTTTCTTCAAAATTTCTGATAGTCCTTGCAAAGTATCACGTCCATTAATTAAATTTGTTGCATGATATGTTGATACATTTTTTCGTTGTAATGCTTTATTTGTTCGATCAATGCATTGCAAAATTTTATTCCATATAGAAAGAGTTATACATATAAATCTGTCATTAATTTATAACAGCAAATTTTTTGCATTTGGTATTGCTTCCGGATTTGATAAATCATTTGCAAAAAAAATTGTTTCCAATGCTTTCTTTACTTCAGGTAATTATAAATATAGCGATTTTATTGCAACAGCTTTTGATGACTATCTTGTATTAGATAAACTTTTAAGCGACAATTTTAAAGATTTCATTAAAATTTTTTATCATTTTGTTGAAGACGAGAAAAAATTGAATATCTGTACAGTACCACAAAAAGTAATTATTTCTAATGTCGTATGAGCAGCGTGGACACTAGCAAAATTTAGATTATGAGCTGCGCAAGATACAAATAGAGCAAGATTATTAATTTTCAAAATACGTGCTCCTACTTCTTTATATTTGTCGGGCATATTGACATCGTTGGCATATCCTTATCCTCTAGCATCATGAAAATATCCAATTTATCAGCTTCTACTTAAAATTTCAGTCGCTAAACCTTTTGTTTTTTCATGTGATTGAATGAAGTCGATGAAGCTTTCTTCGATCATTACCTTACAGTCAATCTGGATGTATCTTATGATTTGACTCATTTATTCCCTTCTTGAGACATCAGAAATGCAGTCGAATAAAATTGAATAGTACTTTGCCTTCTTAATTCTGCATATTATTTCATTTCTAGTTTTATCGCTAATTAATTTTATTAATTTATTTTGTATAATAGGTGAAAAGTATGAGATGGAATCTTTTTTATGCTTTTCAATTTGTTCTTTTAAAGCAGTATTATAATGGTTAGCAAATTCAATTAAATTTAAAAAAGTTCTACAATTTGGATTACCAATTATTTCATTTGAACCTCGAAGAGCAATATTATTTTTTGCGCAAAATAGAATAGCATCTATTATCATTCTTGATATTTCACGCCATATCATCTTTTCTTATTAATTAAATAATCATCGAGTTTTCTGATCTTACATTCATCACTTTCCATTTTACATAATTGTTTCGACGTTCAGAAGAATTTTCACGTTTGGGAATAACGGGATTAAGATGTTTCCAATCATGAAATCCTTTTTGTCGATCTGAAATATTCTGCAATCCAAAAAGCATACAAGGAAAACGAAATATTGCGTTTTGATTGACAGAATATAATAGCCATTTTTTTAAAACTATTTCTCCATTAGTTTGTTTAACATAGAACCTACTTTTGTAAAGAAGGGATTGCAATAAGGGACATTTTTGGCCCCCCCCCCGAATTTAAACGAAACTAGGAGGGAAATGTACTTCCATATAGGCCTCATAATTCCTCAAAAAGATATGGTCTTAAATCTCATCATTTATGAATTATTACACTTTGAATTTGAACGATTTATTGGGGATTTGGCACTTTTCGATGATTAAAGTTTTTTTTGACAATCTTCCTGGAATGGCCACTTCACCAAACTTTCTCAAAAACTTCTTAAGGGTATCACCTAGAATATATCAAGAGATGAAAGCGATGCAAGCGTGTGCACACTATCATCCACGTCGAATCCAGAGTGCGCTATCTTTACACGTGTTTATAGTGGTTCAAGACCATTTAAGATTTTGCAGATTCAAACTGATGATCGTTTCATGATTCAAGAAAGATACGTAAACATGAAAAGCAATGATTCCAAATAGATCGACTCATTAGGAAAGGAAAGGGAAAGCTAAGGAGGGGTTCAAAATGAATAGTCTTCTGATATTTTATTTTAATCATGAATGAAGGGAAATAAAAACGAAATAATGTTTCATTAATATAATATAAACCGCTGGCATTTGAATTACCTAATGTGCATCACGTGGAGGTTGCTCGAACGGATTTGCACACTTATGTACATATATATACAGGGTCATCGAAAAGTATCGGACCCCCCTAATATCTTCAATTAGAATGCATTTTGGAGAAATTGTCCAATAGCAAAGTTATATGTCGTTATATAAAATGTGTTATATAAAAAGTGTCGGATCCCCCTAATATTTTCAGTAAGAATTGTTAACTTCAAACCTTTATAACTCAAAAAGTACTTAATGAAAAAATGTTTTATTATAGTGTTTTGGAAAGCTCTCGAGATAAGCTAAATATAAAAATATGCAATAAAATGTAGGGGGCTCCATTTAAAAAAATAAGGTTGACCTTGAAATGACCTTAAAGGACATGGTCAAGATCAAAGTCAAGGTCATCATCTTACTCCTCGCTTGAAACCATACAACTTTGCTATTGGACATTTTCTCCAAAATGCATTCTAACTGAAGATATTAGGGGGGTCCGATACTTTTCGATGACTCTGTATATTGCGCGCACGCGTGAATGCGTATGTACATGTATATACGTTTGTGTCCGTGTGTGCGTGCGTGCATGCATGTGCGCGCATGTGTGTGTGTGTTGCCGTGCGCGTACATACTGCAAATAAAAATTTTGTTACTCCTACGGTTACGTTACTCCTAGGAGTAACGAAACTTTTATTTGCAGTGTCTACGCGCACGGCACACACACGCGCGCGCGCGCGCGCGCACGCACGCACGCACGCACGCACGCACGC